ACTGGAGGTCCCTGCTGCAGAGTAGAGACCCCCACACACAAAGGCTCTTGCTACCATCACATTGCTCCAACTTTTAGCTTCCTGGCTCATGTTTCAAAGACCCAGAGGAAAGAGCCCACTGGTGATGCAAAGTGGGCAAGGTGAGGACCCCCAAGGACACACTAAGGTAGGACCAGTGCCTCCAGCATCCCCAGGCTGCGGTCCAGGATGCCCCAAGGACACCCGCTCCTGATGCCACGGCCCCCTCCACAGAGCCCAGAGCAGAGACAGGGCAGGAGCTACATCCCCCCCCCAACATCCCTTCGGCCCCCAGCATCCTGCTGCCGAGGGACCGGTTCCTGCCCGGCTGCTTCCCCTCCCTTTGAACTCGTTTCATCTTCCCCAGGCCCGGCTGGGAGAGAGAGGGAAGTTTGGGCTGGGCTGGGGGCCCTGCTGCGCCCGGCGGCGGGGACGGCAGCAAGGGGGGGTCCTGCCTTGAGGCCAGAAGGGGAGGAAGGATGCGAGAGGGGAGATGTGAGCGCTTCCACCCGCAGGAAAGCAGCAAACCTATTTTAGGTGGTTTCCAGCTGTTTGGAGCAGTTCCTGTGCAGGCTCGGGAGCCTGGTACCCTCTGCTCCAGCCCACTCAACCCTAGCGATGCTCCTGCATCCCTCCAGAGTCAAGAAAATGCCCTTTGTGGGGAGGCAGCATCCTGCAGATCCCAGCAGACTGGAGGGATGCTAGCTGGGGGTTTGGGGCACAGGAAGAGGGTTCAGTGTGATATCCTGGTCCCCCAACCATGCTGGGTGTGCACTGGTTTTCCCTCCAGGAGCAGGAGGAAAGAAGTGCCAACCAGAGCCATGAAATACCCCTCTCCATCCCTCAAAACCTGCCTCCACCTTGCACGAGTGGCCCATGTTCCTCTGTGTCCCTAGGAAACACGACCATGGGAGCAGGGAGGATGCTTGAGATGCAGCACTGGATGCCTCTTTCCCACTGCCATCCCACACATCCCAGATGTCTCAGGGCACCATTTGTTCAAGACATTGTGACAGAATGCATCCATCTCTGGGGCTATAAAGCTCCTGGTCTGCCCCAGGGCTTGATCTCCATTGGGTGCATGAGCAGTGGGTGTATAGGCAGCAGATGGGTCCACCTTGGTTGGAAGAAGGAGCAAAGCTGAAGGTGGCTCCCCCAGGCTTGCAGCCCCCAGGGCTGGGCTGTACATGGGAGCTGGAGCAGGATCCCAGCTGTGATGCACCACATTCCCAGCTCCCTGCCAAGCTGCACTTCCAGTCCTGGCTCTGCCTCATTACACAGAAAACCCGGAAAATCCACCAGTGCCTTGGCTTCTCCTCCAGACAGCCCTTCCCAGACAGCAGCCCCGTTGGCTTCTCACCCCAATTGGCCAGTACATGGCAGGGATGTGGAAACCCTGCACACCCCTTCATAGAACCCAAAACGCGAGTGCTGCTCGCTGGGGAGCACAAGGATGGAGCAGGGATGCCCAGAGCCAATCCTTGCTGCTCCCAGTCCTTTTCAGCTGCCTCTGTGAGATGTGTTTCACTTCCCCGCTGTCCCCTCCATCCCATAGTGGGGCTGGGGATGCGGGATCCCCATACACAAAAGCCCACAAGGCCTCTTGTCCATGTGTGCATCCCACTGGGGAGCATCCACCCTGTGCCAGCCTTGTGTGGGCACTTTCTTTGTCACTGCAGCACTCACCCTGCCTGCTCATCCCATCCCCTCCATGCCTGATGCCAATGCACCAGAGGGGATAACCCTGCTCCACGCCCTGGCTGCCCTATGGATGTGTCTGGGGCAGAGACCCCCCCACATCACCTGCAGGTCTCTGTGGGTACCACCGTGAGGACACACATGTGTCTCGATGGGGACCCAAGTGCTGCCGCAGGCTCTCAGCACCCGTGTGCAGGCTGCTGGGTTGGGTGTCGCAGTGAGGAACGACACCACGAAGCCGTGATTGGAGCTGTCAAAATGTTGGTATCATCTCTCATCATCCAGCACAGGTTGAGGGGAACACACCGCGTTCCAGGCTCAGGGGAGAGTCTTTCGTGGTGGTTTCTGTGCTGTTTGTGATCTCCAGCCCTGTGGTTTTGCTGCTGCTTGGGGCCAAAATCACCTAAAATCACTGCAATAGCCAACTGCCAGGGAGAGGAGGAAGCACCCGGGGGTGAGAGAATGGGAGAGTGAAGCCGAACCCTTCTTGCTGTGGCTATGAAGCCTTTCAATATGAAGTAGGGTACAGAAACTCAGAGGGAAATCTGGTGCCAAGTGCTCCGCCATGGAATGGGACAGCCAAAGTCAGGGTCGATACTGCATAAGAAAAGCCCACTCAAACTATTCACATCTTAACATTGCTGGGTGCAGGGCAGCAATCTCCCCATTTGCTGCTCAGAGGCAGGAATGGACATAAAAAGACTGGATTTGTTAGGAAAACGCCTGCTGAGAGCTCGGCGGTGTTGCTATGTATGAAGCTGCAGCACTCCCACTCCTGAATCCAGCCCCAGCATGCAGGGGAGGCAGGAGGACCAAAAAAGCACCCAGATCAATGACAGGGTGAGAATCACTTCGGTTACAGACAGGCTGGGAGACAGGGATTTGTCAGGCTGGGAAAATCACACTTAGGGAGGAAGTCGGGATCAGCCTCAGGAATCATCTGTGGAAGGGTTTAACCTGTGCCTCCCCTCTCTGCCTTATGGCCCATCACCGAGCAGCCTCTGCGGGCTGATGGTGCAGGGAAAGCCCCACAGTGATGATCCAGGGACACGGAGCACACTGGAGCAGCCTCAAGTCCCTGTACAGGGAGGTGATTCCTGCCCCTGCAATGGTCTGAGCAGCACCTAACACAAGAGGGTTGGGTCCTTTTCGGGGGTCTTTGTGCTAAAGAAGGGTCATGGACCCCTCTGGGGCCGGTGTCTGAACTGCAAAGGGTCGGTGGGGTGACACAAGATGGGTTGGTGCTCAGCCATCCGGCTGGGCTGAGTTTTCCTCCCCGATGAGCCCAGCAAAGGCATCCTTAAACAGAGCAAAGGGATCCAGCAACAGCGACAGCACAGTGGGATGTGCAGGTACCAGCGCCGGGTGTCAGATCCCTGCCCGCCCCACTGACATCCCACAGTGGGATCCTGGCCCCACAGCTGCCTCTCCCCAGCCCCAGGGGCTGCAGCAGCTCACCAGGAGCCAGTCATGAAGCGGTTAAATATCTCCTCCTGGAGCAGCAGGGTTCACATACAGCTCGTACCCCCCATTTACACCCCACCGTATTTATTATGGGCTTGGCTTTGACAACAGAGAGAGGAGGAGAAGGGGAAAACCAGGGAGAGGAGGCATCTGTAGGGCAGCCCCATAGGCAGGGTGAGCCTGCTCTATAAGACATGCCCGGCTGTCACCTCCAGTCCCTCAACCCCACAGAGCTGTGCCCATGAGCAAGCAAGGCATCACCCCATGGCTCCTGGGCTGCCCATGGTGAGGGAACGACTGGGTTGAAGACAAATCTATCATCCCCTTTCCACCCCCTGGAGCACCCGCTGGTGCTCTCCCATGTGCAGTAGGACCCCACGAGGGACCACACTATAACTCTGCCTGCACCCCAGCACCCTCTGAACCCTCAAATGAAGCTGTCAAAGGCTCCAGGACCCCCCCAGCTCAGCCTGCCCCGATCGCTGCTGCAGCCAGATGTGCCCCAGCAGCAGCAGCGTGGAGGAAGACCTTTCTCCCAGTGCTTCACCGAGAGTTTGGGGCTCCCTTTCTCCCCACAGCAGCCACCACAGAGCTCATCCCAATGCGTTTTCCTACCTGACAGGGATCTTCACTCGCAGGTATCGATCCACGGCAATGGCCAGGAGCGCCAGGATGGAGCTCTCAGTGAGGATGAGGACGGGACAGGCCACCATGAGGCAGCTGTAAAACTCCGTCTGCGGTCCGATGTTGATGATGATGGCCAGGGGGATGACCAGAGCCCCCACGGCCACGTCGGCCACCGCCAGCGAGACGATGAAGCAGAAAGTGGCATCCCGCAGCGCCTGGTTCATCTTCACAGCCCAAATGACCAGGATATTCCCCGGCACGGACACCAAAGCGATGAGGACCTCGATGGAGATGTAGGCAGCCTGGAAGGCTGACACGGGGTGCGCCATGGTCCTGCGGGCCCCCCGCGCTGGGGTCCTCGGTCACCTGCGAACACCCAGGGATGCGGTTTGCAACTGGCATCACCGGGTGCGCTGCGAGCGGGATGGAGCCTGGGCGGGAGGTGGGAACTAGGGGGGGGGGACTGGACCCCCCCCCCCAAGCTCTGTGCCGTCCCCCGCCGCTCCGACCGCAGGGGCTCATCCTGCACCCACCTCTACCGCTTCGCCACCGCTCCCGGAGCAGCGGAGCCCTTCGGGACCGAGGCATCGGAGCAGGACCCCCGTTCCCCCCTCCCCGTCTTTGGTCCCTGCCCCGGCAGCAGCCGCCCGCTCCGGGCCGGACACGGACCTCACCTTGTGCTGCAAGCAGAGGGCTTGTTTCGGGGTGCAGCTCTTCACCCGCAGGGTGCCGCCGGGGGCATGCTGCGGGGCGGCCGGAGGGATGCCCGGGGTCCCCGGTGCCCGGCACCGCTCGGTTCCCGCAGGCTCCGCCGGCTCCCAACCGGAGCTGGAGCATCACATGGTGCAGCCTTCCAGGCGTTTAAAGAGCGACTGACCCGATTTGGGGCTCGTCGAGGCTGGGAAGAACCGGGAGGGGGGGGGGGAACGGTGGGGAGGTGGAGCCGGCAGCGAGGGGGAGCAACGGAGCCGGTGCCAGCCCCGAGCTCCCGGTATGGATCCGCTCCCGGTTTTAGCACCAAAACCGGTTTTGGAGGCCGGGTGTGACGGAGGCTCCGGGCGTGGAGGCAGCGCCTGCGCTCGAGGGGAGCGAGGACCCAGCGCATCAATCGGACGGGACCGGCTGGGGTGTCGTGTGTGTCCCGTACCCCCCCCCCGCATCAGACCCGAACCGGTGCGGACAATGTGCACGGCTGGGGTCTGTCGGGGTGGGACCCCCAAGCAGCCTTCATCCTCCCTGGGTGCTGGGATGGGGCTGCACCCCAGGCTGGGGAGGTGCAGGGCTGGCAGCGTTCCTTGTGCGGGGGCTGTACCAATGCTAAACAGAGCTGCTGGGGCAGGCAGAGGGTCCTGGCTGGGAATAGTGACCCCAAACTGGTGGTGAGGCTGGACCAGATGCTACTTAAGATCCTAGAAGTAGGGGGAAACGGTCACCCCCAAAACCTCACCCCTTGGCTGGGTAGTGAGGAGGGAATGGGAATGATGGAGCTGAACGAGCCAAGCCCTCCAGGGGCTCTTCCCAAGCATGGACTAGTCTCATCCTGCATAAGTCGCTCCCCAGGTGTGGGGTTCATCCATCCAAGTGCTGCAGGGACACGGACCAGCTACAGCCTCAGATCTGCAGCAAGGGGATGCTCTCAGATCCCATCTGCACCTCTTGCCATCCTTCCTCCCTCCTCTGCTGCGACTCGGGTGAGTTGTCCCCTCCTGCTCTGCTCTGCCTCGGTGAGAGATGTCCCAGCACCTGGATCTGCCCCTTTGGGCTGACCCTCACCTTCTCCTCCATCAGAGCCTGCACATCCCAAGGTGGGGATGGGAACACCGTGGGACCATCACAGACCCAGTGCTGGGCTTCTCAACTGGTGGCCCATGGGCTTCCCCTTTACCTCCTTGGCCAAGTGGCCAGCATGGGGCTGAGGGGTTTGAGCATCCGAGGAGTGCTTGAGGCCTGCAGCAATGTGCCATTGAGCTGTGCCAGCACCAGGGCCAGGAGAGCTTATTTGGATTGAACAATCTGTTTGCTCTGCAGAGAGAAAAATAAACTGAGGATGGCGGGCTCATGTAAACACCATGCTATTTATGGGAGGCAATCACTGGAGCATCTCCCAGCGCGTCTCCTCACACATCCTCAAGCACAGGGAGGAAGCCGTGACCCAGCTGTATGGCCAGAGGTAACACACGGTCCTCAGGGCAGGGGACCACAGTGGAAAGAGCATCCCTAGGGAGTCCCAAACCCCCCTTGCCCACCAGCTTCCAGGGGGGAACGTCCTTGCAATCAACCTCTGGCTGGGAGCAGCGCAGGAAAACTGTCAGGTTCCTCACGGGAGTGCAATGCGGAAGCAAAGGCAGGCAGGTCCTGGCCTAATTGTATGCAAATCTCCCAAACACAGATTAAAAACCACTCCTTTTCCTTAGTGCGTTCGCAGTTTGTTCTCCCTGCCTGGACTCATGCCCCAGCGCACTTAATTTTAGCAGCACCCCTAAAAAAGCCCCATTTAAAGCCAAAACTGAGCTGCTCGGCTGGGAGTTGGCCAAAGCAGGTAGGAGCTCTCCTACTGGGCCAAGGAAACGGTCCCAGGGCTTTGGCAAAGGCTGCAGAGATGGAATGAGCAAATGCTGCTGATGGTTGTGGAGAGCCTGTTCCTGATGGAGAAGGCATCATCTCCTTGCCCTCTGGGACACCAGGCTCATGTCGGGTGAGTGTCAGAGATGCCTTACAATCCCATTAAAGGTAAGTTTCCAGTGGACAGCAAGCACTGAGAAGGTTTTTTTCCTGTCTTCCAGGGTCTTGCTGGGGTTTGGAATGAGAAAACACCTTGAGACCTGTTGTGAAGTGGTGGATAACGCTGCTACAGGCACGTACCCACTGCCATCCGCAGTGCCGATGGGATGAAGAGGGGACACAGCGTGGTTCCAATGCTCCTGCTCCGGCTGTTCCACCTCGGCATCTCCCATGAGCTGGGGACAGGACCAAAGCTTGCCCATGGCAGGAGGAGCTGGTGGGTGTCCGGCTCCGTGCCAGCGCTGTGCACAGTGGGGTTTGGCGTGTCAGGGCCTGGCTGATAAAACCAAACCCCAAGTGAGCACCTGCAGGGCTCGGGAGCAGCCAAGGAATGCTGCTCTGAGGAGGCAAGTCCAGGCGATGGCAGCTCATTTCCACCCATCTTCCTTCAGCCTTTATTGGGGCTTTGGGCTTTCCCCCTCCTGCCTCAGTTTAGCTCCCTAAGGAGCAGCCCCCTGTTGCCATCCCGGGTGCTCAGGGCAGAAGTTGAGGGTTTCTCCACCTCTTCCATCACAGGCACCATCCCACAGCCCTTCTGCTCATGGAAAGGGGCCTCTTAATTAGGAAAGTTAATGAGGAGCATGGCTGGTGCCAGCATGACGTTGATGTCTCCATGAGGACAAGTGACCCCTTGAACACCACAGGCCAGTGGGTCCAGACAAGACGGCACAAAAAGGAGCAAACAAAGGGAAAACCCGGAGCTGTTCCAAGGACGAGATGCTCACCCCATAGCACCAGCCCTGGGGCCACCGGTGATGCAGCGCCTCGGCTGGACTTCCCTTGGGATACAGGGCTGCTCCGTGACTTGTGCTGGGTTTCTGTCCCGTTCAACAGGATACACGGCCCTTGGGAAGCTTTTGCAGGGTGATGCATCCCCTCAGCAGCAATGACACAGCGTAGGAAACATTCCGGGGAGACAATTCAAAGCAGTGGATCCTGGAGGATGGATGAAGGAGCGGCTGCTTCCCCACGGACTGACCCTTCCCACCAAGCCCATCTCAGCCCTGCCTCCCAGAGCAGGGATTACAGCACATTGACAACGCTGCTCATGCTCTGAGGTAGGAAGTGAGCCATGGATGATGCCTCTGGTCACTCAGCACGTGGGTACCGGCACCAGGACATAGCCCTGCTCCCTCCATCCCAAGTGAATGCCATGGACCCCCACACAGCTGACCCACTCAAGCCCCACTCAGTGCCCAGCCAGATGCCAGCCAGATGTTGCCTGCATCCACCTGGGGCTCAGCCAAGCTGGTGCCTTGGTACTGCAGGCTGCTGATGGGCTTCTGTGCTTCCCTGGCAGGGAGGAGCTGCTGAGACATCACTCAGAGGAAGAGAGAACACATCCAAACCCTCTGAGCTCCCCCCTTGGCGTGGCAGTGGGTAAAGCAAGGGTTTGCCCCATCTCCATCTCCGCAGCGAGGTGCCGGTGTCCATCTCCTGCCCCAACCCAGCCCTTTGGCCTCCTCACTGCTGCATCTTCCTCACCATGCACCGGGGTTATTTTAATCCTGAGGGAGCCTCGGAGTGTTATCGAGCCAGGCTGAGAGCCAAGAGCTATTCCTGACCACCACTTCCACAGGCTCGGTGCTGCAGGACGGGGTTAAACCTTCCCACCCCTGCAAATGAGTTGAGAGGACAGGAAAAACCCTTGGCCACCCCTTAAGCAAACCCAGCTCTTGTTTTACCTCTCTTGCTGTTGGAAGTAGCCCCGGGAGAGGCAGGATGGTGCTTGCTGCCTCCAGCCCTGCAGGCATGGAGCTGTGCCCATGGGGAGGGAGGAGGAGGGAGGCTGTAAGTGCTCTGCAGCATGCAGGGGTGATGACAGATCCTGCTGGGGCAAAGTCTCGTGTGAAACAGCAACTTCCCAGGAAAGGGAAAAGAATAAAGGGGGGGGATATATGAAATATTAAAGGAAAAATGTGACTTTTGCAGATCCTGGTTTGATGAAGGTGCAGAATCTCTTCCCCTGGTGGATCTCTGAGGTGGGGACATCATTTTCGCATTGATCTTTGGGGCAATACTGGGGAAGAGATGAAGATCCCAATGGGTGCCACGGCTTGAAGACCCAAAAACCAGCTCCAGACCTGGGACTGCAGTGACCTGGGGACACCCGCTCTTAACCTCATACTCTGTATAGGAGGATGAGGATTTGGGGTGAAGGAGAAAACAGGGGGTGAAGGAAGAGCAGGGCCAGAGGGAAGGATGCAGCTGGGCTGGTTCAGTGCCTTGGGCTGAGGTTGAGTGTTGTCCCTTCACACCGCAGACCAGAATCACATCACCATCCTCCAGCACAGCTCCTCTTCTTCCTCCTTCTTCTTCTGCACCCTGCTGCCGCCCATATTGGCTCCTTCCAAGCACTCCAAGCTGGAATGTTTCATTTCCAGAAATCAAGTCAGGACAGAGATTCACTGAGCAGGTCCCGCGCATCGGAGGAAAAGCCGTTTAACCCCTCCCCGTGTACGGAAACCTACAGATTCCGATTGAAGACATGGAAAATTCCTTATCAGCAGAGGGGATCCACCTCCTGCCCTGTTCCTCTTCTCTTCCAGCTGGGATCCTTTCCCCCGTGGCCCCAGAGCAGCACAAACATTACTCGAACCATCTGAGCGCCGTTGAAAACAGCCTCCTGGTCCCCATGGGATGGCTGCAGCGGGACGGTGACGCTGCAGTGGGACATGGGACATTCAGCATCACACAGAGCAGCCCCGGGATGGTCGGCAGCGACGTTCCCACAGCTGGATGCCTTCCTCAGGGACGCACCACCACAAGTCCCCTGCCACAAGCTTGGAGATCTGATGGACATAGAGGCTGCTCCTTCTGCTTTTCTTCCTCTTCATTCCATGGCTGGAGGGGATCTGGGGTGCAGGATCCAGCTTGGGGCTCACCCAGTCCTATACTGGGAAGGCTCTGTGTAAATCTGTGCCCTTGGAAGAGGTGATTTGGTGCCGGGACGCCCTGTGGACCTGCTGCTGCAGTGGGATGCTCCAGGGCTTGGAGGTGATGGAGAAGTGGGAACCCACCAGTGAAGGTTCAGTGCTGCAGAGGCCAAGGTGTAACTGGGGTCCTGGTTTCAACACCCTAAAGAAGCACTCTGGATAAGGCAATGATCAGCACTAGTGATGGTGGCCAAGGGGTTGGTTCCCCCCCAGCCATTTCACTCCCCCAAACTGATTGAATCCATGGGTGCAAAGGGACCAGTGGGGACATGGGCAAGAGCATCCTGAGGGACAGAGGACACAGCTTCTGCAGGAGAAACAGACGGGTTGGCAGGAGGAAACCCCTCAAAGCACATTCCAGTCCCTGCCGATGGGGTGAAAGCTGAGCTGCTCCCCAAGAGAGACTCGAGGGCAACGTGGCTGCTAAAACTGAACCAGAAATCCCTTCCCCAGGATGATTCCATCTCCATCCAAAGAGAAAGAAGCAAAGCAAAGGGTTTCCGGGAAGTGCCCCCACTCTCCCGCAGCCTCCCCTCCCCGGACTGGGATGTTTTGGTCCAAGAGATGAACGAGGGGACCAGGAGGGAGGCAGGAACTGGAGGAAGCCAAACCCTGGGAGCTATTTTGAGCCCTAGGGCAGGAAAAGCACCTGCTGGGGTCATTACACTGCGGGAAAAAACAAACCTCCAGATTTGCTCCCCCGAGGGGGGGTTGGAAATGAAGAGCCGGGCTCATCCCTGATGGGAATTAGTGCCAGAGACAAGGGTTTCCAGGTCTCCATCCTCCCGTCAGCCCCCAGGCAAAGCGCTGCATCTGCATCCCGGAGTCCGCATAGGGAGGTGATGGGGTTTTCCCCCCGCCCCCCGAATGAAAAGGGGGTTCAAAGGGTTCTGAGGTGCTTTAAGCCTCTGCCTTGGGTTGTGCAGCCCGAAATGCCGATCGGTGCGTGCATAACTGGGCTGCTGGTGCCCTCTCCCGACGGCTGCATCGTGCGGCTGCAGCGGCTGCAGGAGCCGATGGCTTCTGCATCCCTCCCGGCAGGGAACGGGTGGCCTCAGATCCCATCCCATGGGATCCGGGGTGACCCGGCCAAGGAAAGCGGGGGTTTACCTTCGGTCACAGACTCGCATTGAAGGCATTTCTCCTCATCAGTGATTGAAACGGGCTGGAAGGAGCTCGACTCCCTGCGATGGAGCATAGGGAGCACCCCAGCAACATCGACCCCATTTCTGTCCCCTACACCAGACCCCAGCAGCCTCCCTCATCCTTTCTCATCCTCCTGGCTCTCAACCGCCCTGTCTGTGGTCCAGCTCCACCAGCTCGTTGGGTGCGGGGTATCCCATGGTCGGTGCCCTGGGGACCCCTATGGGGTGCATCACTGCCTGCCAGCTCTGGGTCGGGATCATCCTCCAGCCTCTTCCCCATCCCAACAGAACGTGCAGGAGGAGCCGACAGCTGAGCATGTGAGCAGGATGTTGCCCCACCATGGGGCTGAGCACCCCAGAAAGGGATAAACCCAGCCTGGAGGTGAGGGGTGGGTGCTCATGGGGTGGCTGAGCCAGCAGCGATGGGAATTCGGGCTGGGTGCTTCTCTATGGGGACTGGTGTGTCTGGCATCACCACTGGCATGTCCGGGGAGGGGCTGCCTCCCCTTTTCTGCTTGGGAATCCCACCCTGAAGCCACAGAATCCCCACATCCTTCCCTCCCCAGCTCTGAGTTATGGTGGGGTAGGGCAGATCTTTGCTGTCCCGTGGGGCAGGAAAATGGCAGGATCACTGTTTTATCTCCTGAAAGCCCCATATCAGCATCACCAACTCCTTTATCCCCCCTCTCACCCCACTCAGCAGACCCTGATCCTGCAGCATCAGCCACGGGGGCTGGATGAGCCCCAGCAGGAATGTGCCCACCATGGGGACAAGAGATGGGACCTGGCTTGCAGCCACCAGCCTCCTCCCTGCATGGTTCCAGGCATCCCATCTCAGGGCTGTCCCCTGACCAGGGATGCTGCTGTCCCCGGGTCCCTTCACTGGGCCTTGTGCCACCCCCCTGGCCCAGACAGCTGTCCCTCTCGGGGGGTCGGATAGCCACCATATGTCCCTGCTGAATC